TTAAGGTTCGAACTTGTTTGCATTAAAGTGTACAAAACTTTACAAAGTGTAGAACTATAGCCAATATAGGGTTTGTCCATAACTATATTTTTTGTTAGAACATTGAGTCTTTTGAAGTGTACAAAACTTTAAAAATTGTACAAAACTTCACACAATAAAGTGTACAAACTTATATTTTGTTGCCATTTTAAATGAAACTATGAAATTATTACTTATGTATGGAAGTGTTATACAAACTTTTAGTGATTTCTACAAAATAGAGTTATTATTTCTTATGTATGTGAATAGTAATCATTACTTATGGAAATGTGCTACAAACTTATTGCTACCAAACAGTAGTCAACTGCTTGCTGTTCTATTCTCAGGATCATTTCATTTATTTTGATGTGAACATAATCATATTACACAAAATATGTAAGTTTACAAATATACAATTTTATGAACAAACTTGCATTAATATCCACGAAACATATTCATATTATACAATATATGCTAGTTTACAAACATAAATAGCTTCCAATCGACTACATACATATTACAAGCCAATTACCTTAAATAGTATACTAAATTTTATTGAATTTCTTTCCAACAATAACATAAAAATAAAAGAAGCAAACACATTGCAATCTATTTTCAATTTTTATTCTTGCAATTGTAGTTGTTTGCATTACCTGAAAAGACTTAATTTTGGTGTTTTGTTCTTTGCAATCTCCTTAATAAACCTAGAATGACTGCTTTGCTATGTTCATTTATTAAAAGGATCATACCATTTAAAAAATCCACATGCATTAACTTGCTGCAAATTTAAACAAAAACCATCACCAAATAAAAGGAATAAAAACACAATAAATTAAAGAAATAAAAATCATAAAAATAATAATATGCTACCCATTGTTACTACTTACTACCCGTATTAAAAAAAAACACTTATTAATTTGTTGTCTTAAATATTTACAAAATCCAAAACCAATAGTTGTGTTCTCATATTCAAAAACCATTGCACATTTGTTGTGTTGCTAAAACCTTAAATTCAATTAATTAAAAAAAACTAAAATGTTGTATTCTTACCCCATAATTGTTACAACCAAAAAACCGATGGCCTAAGTTAGTATCAATCTATGATGTCCTAATTTGAGTTTGTTGACCACAATGACAAATAGGTAACAAGCCTATATCTTCCATATAGCAACACGTAGCTCTTTCTTTTCAACCTTTAGCTCCTCCTTTCAACCTTTAACTCTTTCTTTCAACCCTCAATTCCTCGTTTTCAATCTACAGCTTTTCCTTTTCAAACTCCCTTAATTTTTCTCTTCAACACCCAAAAAATTGCAATAGTTGCTTACAAGCCTATATCTTCCATATAACAACTAGTAGCTCCTCCTTTTCAACCCTCAACTCCTCCATTTCTCTTCAACACCCAAAACATTAATAAGATCTCACAAGTTTCTATTTTTTTAGATGGTTAATTTATTTTAATGGACATTAAAGTTTCTTTTGCTTTTTTTATTTGCTTAGTGGACATTAAAAAATTTCACATAATACAATTTGTTCAAATTATGTGTCATGTCACATAGGATCTACTATCAATTTAAACAATTCAGTAGATGGAAGGACCATATTGACACAAGTTTGGGCAAATAAAGACTCAATTATAACTTTTTAAAGTTTAAGAACTAATATAGAATCTAGCCCAAAATTTAGGGTCCATGCTACTATTAACTCTCTATTTAAATATTATGTGTTAAATTTTATTTATTTAAATGTTATGCATTAGGTAATATTAGATTTATTTAAATGTTATGCATTAGGTAATATTAGACAAAAAATAATGGACATCTTTATTATATTGATTTTTTAAGTGCGATTAAAGATGTCAATATGTAAGATATGGATGAGTAAAGCATTTCCCATTTTCATATCCGATTTTTTATATTATATACATTCCCATACCCATACTCAATGGGTATTTTAAGTTCATCTCGATCCCCATCCCCGTAGGTATTTAATGGACATAGATAATTTCATATCTTTGACTTTTTTAAAAATATTAAAAGTTAAAAATTATTTTTTAGTTTTTATTTTTTATTTTTTATTTTTTTTAATCTTGCACATTCAAATAATTTTTTTATAAACATTTACTTTTTTTAAATACAAATATATTAGTTTTAATAAATATAAAATAAAATTTATATTATTAAATAAAAAATTAATTTATTAAATATATATAAATATATAAGGAACGGGTACAAAATGGGCGCTATATTATCCATCTTCATACACATATCCAATAAAAAATTTAAAACTATATCAATCTTCATCTCCATCCCCATTTTTATCCTCATCTCTAATATTTAATACATATCCCCATTAAAATAAAAAATCAAATTATTTATTAAATTTGGATAAAATTAACATTCCTAAATGCGGCTAAGCTGAACCACTTTTTATCTTTATAGAGAAAATCTTCTCCACTGGAATAAGCAAAGAGAAGAGCTGAGAAAGTCCAATATGGACTTCCATGTTCTCTGCATTTTGATGGATGAAAAATCTAATTTCTTTTGGGACCCAATGGCTTAAAGAAAAGAGGAATTATCAAGGTTTTTCTGGCTCAAGAGTAACTTAAAATCTTTATTCTTTAATAAGTGTAGTTTTATACTTATTTCCCTTATTAAGGTACTTTAAACCAATTTAGTGCCATGTCAAAGTTCATTTTTTTTGCCTTTTATTAAAATCTCTTTAATATTTTTCAAAGAAAAATCTTCTGTGTCTCAACATTACTTTAGATTTGCTTAAATCAATAAAAATCTTGATGAATTAGCATTAAAACTCAAGAAAAAAAATCAAATCAAATCAACTCAATAAAAACTAAAAAAAGCACTACCAAAATTTTTTTTGGTAAAAATTGTCTGATTTAAATTTGAGCAAAATGTTTAAAGATTAAAACTTGAAAATTCTGTCATTGTATTTTGAAACAGAAAAAGTCGACAAAACAAACAAAACCAAAGTTTTATGGTTAAAAATAAGCTTTTTACTCTCTTTGCGTTCTTGAAGAAATTTTTTTTTTTTTGGCTCTCGCTGTGTTTGTTGCTAAGCTGCCAGTTGTTGCCTCTCTCGCCTTTTAGCAGGAGGAACCCAAGTACTCTAGACAGTTTGGCATTGAAACCCTCGGCTTGTGCAACAAATCCTGCATCTCAATTGTGCACAGTCTTTCTTAGCTTTGTTTCCACAATCTTGGCAGTTCATGCCTCTTGTCTCATAACCACAAAACCTGCTGATCTCGAAGACAACTCATCAGAGAGGTTAAATCCACCAGTTTTTAGACTAGGACCGGCTCCAAACGAGTAGTTGTTCACATCTTGCCGTTGTTTGTAATAATACTATGACCATATCTCAAACCCTTTGTTGTAGATCTCTTCGTTTCTGTACAAATACAAGTTCTTGAAAATGCAAATTCTCAGTTTTTAATTGGAAAAGAAAATGATGATTTGATAATGGTGTTAATTGAATAAAATTCCTTTATCATCTTCAGCAAAACAAAAAAATAAAAGGAAAGAAAATGATGAATTTTCATGTTCTAAACTTCAAACTTTTGGCTTACATTTAAATCAAACATTTTTGCCAGAAAATTTGGGTAATACTTTTTTTTTTTTTTTTTGAGTTCTACATTGAACTCATTTGATGATCTTCTTTGAATTTTAATGCTAACCCATGAATTCTTATAGGTTTAAGTAATCTCAAATAATGTTGATCAGAGATAAAGTTTTCATTTGAGAATATAAAAAGCAGTTTCTTGATCCAAATGTTTAGTTTTCGGATGTTGAAATAAAGGGGGGTGGAGAAGATGAATGAAATGCTGACACGACATATTTGGTTTAAAGTGCTCTGTTTAGGGAAATAAAGTTAAAAACCATCTTCATTAAGGAATAAAAGTTTTAAATTACTCCTGTTTAGGAAGAAAACTCGCGAATTATCCACCATGTTCTCCAACATGTGGGTGATTTGCTTTTAATTCATCACACTCCAAAATTTATTCTTCTATAATTGTCATTTTTAACTCTATTGCTATTTTCTTTTATTTTGCTTCACTTCGATTTCTGCCTCCTCTTAGTTTCATTCATCTACCATAGATTACAAGGGGACTCCAAAACAGACATTCGAGAAAGGGGATGGGAGGACTAGCCCTTGTCTAAAAAATAAACAAATGAATGAACTATTTGAACTAAAATTTTATTTATTTCTCGAAAATTAACTTTCTTTTTTTTTTTTTTTGGGCCAAAAAATTTCTATTTTTTGTGTGAATGAATGAATTTTTTTTTTGAACATTTATTTTTAAAATAAAATAGACAATTATTAAAATATTAAACATAATTTATTGTTAACATATTAAAATTGGTTTATTTTAATAATATTTTTTAATATTAAACACTTGAAACAAAACTATTTATTATTTATATTAAAATTTAAAATATTTAAAATAGTATTACTATTATTAAATGTTATTTCTATTAATATAATACTATTAAAATAGTAATATTCATTATTAATATATTAAAAATATTTACACTATTAAAATATTTATTATTATATCAAAAGTATTTCTTATTAAATTATAACAATATTATTTACGTAGTAATATAAACACATATGTCAACAAAATATAAAAATAATATATTTTAACTTAAAAATATTAGCAAATGAATAAAAATATTCATAATATTATTATATTAAAGAATATTAATTTTAAAATTAGTCAGTAAATTATTTTTGTTGACCAATCAAATTTTGCCAAACAAACAATAAAAATTATAAAAATTATTTTTTAAAAATCAATTTATGCAAAACAAGTGCAGCCTAAAATCTTCATGTTTTCATTTGTACTTTGAAATTTGAACCTTCACCATTAAGGTAAACATTTATTGCTAGCTTTATCATACACCAATCTCGTTAAACCAACGAAGTTTTTAATAACCACACATTTCACCAACTTTTAGCCACAAAGATTTAAATAAATTCTAATACACAATTATTTTTCAAACTAATTTTTAAAGAATAGGAACACAAATCATAATCAGCCTACTCCAAATCCTCATCCTCCAATTTTTCTCCAACAACGTTATTAAACTCGGTCCACTTCTTGGATTTGCGTAACTTCATTACAAAGTACCATACAATGGTAAAAACAGTTACTATAGAACTCACCAAAAACACTCGTACCGTAGCCACTGACATAACATAGACCAAAAACCCAGAAGGAATCAAACACATCACAATCAAACCAGATAACTCCATTGGCACTTTGAACGGCCTTTCGATCGTTGGCAATTTTCTCCTCAGCCAAAGGAATGCTGCAATTTCCAGTAACATCCCTAAACTATATAAGAAATTAGCTGAAGAAATCAAGTCTGCAAAATTCATATAAGAAACTCCAACAGTTATCAATGTTGAGACCAGAATTCCCAGCCAAGGTGTATTGAACCACTTTGATCTTACCGAGAAACATTGTGGCAAAATTCCTAAATCAGCCATTCCAACGAGCTGGTACACACAACTGCTCAACTGTGCTTCATAGAGTCCAATATTTGATAAAACTGCACCAATTTCAAGAAAGATCTTTAACCATTTTCCTGCAATGATTTCAGCTGCATCAGCAAAATACCCGTCAACCCAATTCTCTTGCTCTAGTGGTATAGCCCCAGTAGCAGCTAAAAGAGGTAGCAAGTAAGCCAAACAAGTGAGCAATCCAGCTGAGAAAAGCGCTTTGGGGAATGTCTTTTGGGGTTGCTCTACTTCACCTGCTAAGGTACTGGCATTGTCCCAGAAGTTCAGGTTCCAAAAAAGTGTATTGAAAAACAATGACCAATCTTTTTCTACTCCTTTCTGACCTAAACTGATCCATCTACCAGGATCTATCTTGGGAATTGAAATCAAAGTCAGTAATATGAATGGTAGAAGTGAAACAACACCTAAACATACTGCAGTGTAACCAACTATGACCAAACCTGTGTAGTTCAAGAAAGACAAAACCAAAGTTGAGGACACTATTGCAAGATAGCGAGGCAGCCCCGAAGAGAAAAGTGGAATGACTAACTTGACATAGTCGATGCAAAGAACTGGATACGAAGCTAGGTTCATCACCCCACAGAGGAATTTCCAGGAGCCCATAAGTGAACCCCAGAATGGCCCAAAAGCCTGGTGAGCCCAGATGACATATCCACCGTTACCAGGGAAGGCGGTGGCAAGCTCAGCTGTGATCAAGGCCTCAGGAATGCTCCATATGAAAGGGAAAATGAGGAAACCCAGTATGGCCCAAAGAGGCCCAGCAGCACCAACCGCTGCCTCCTCACCATATGCTCCCCCGGATACCTCGAAGTAAATGACGAAGATTAGGGGGATGATAGATAGCTTTTTGGAATTTGTTCTGGCAGTGGCAGCGGTGGTGGTTGGACGCGTTTCCTGGTGGCCTAGGAGTTGCTGGGAATAAAGGTTGGAGTCTCCCGTCATGGTAGATATTTTCCTTGCACTTGGGGGGTTTTGAATTTCGAAAGCTTCTTGAATGTAGGACATTTGCTAACAAACACTGCTTTTTCAGCATCATCAGTGCGAGTACGGAGTGATGACAATTCAAAGGCAGTAGTAGGCCACAGCTTTTAAGACTCTGTTGGAGTTAGATCTATCTTATGTTGTCGAAACGTCTTTCATAATCGTATAATTGGTAGATATAAATATACCTCAAGTTATTTGTGTTCATTTAAGATAATATTTAAATTTAATTTAATTATTGTTAAGTTTAACTTCGAATAATTTAATTTAATGAATGAATTGAATTTGAATATTTTGATATGAGAATTAAATAATTCATGAATTTAATTAAATATTTATATTTTAATATATTTTTTATTATTATAATTAAAAATTATTATTTTATTATATATATTAAATTAAATTTAAGCTCAAATTTTAACATAAATCATTAAAAAATTTTAGACACTTTTTTATTTATAAATTTAATAAATTTATAGAAATTTTTTATATATTATAAATAAATATTTTTAAAAAATTTAGATACGTTACTGTTCTGTTAAAGTTAGATCTCTATAGGACGGCTTAATAATCTTAATTGTTCATAAAATATTATAATTTTAATTATACTGATCGAAATTTATTTTTTGATAATTTTTAATATAAAAATATATATTTAATGTATAAATATTTTATAGTAATAAACAAATTGAAAAGTGAAAGTCTTTCAAAAAAAAAAAAGGAAAAAATGCAACTGGGGGTTAGGACCAGTAAACGAAGTCAATCATCCAAAAAGTTGGCGGACAGCTCATTTTGGCCCTCTCTCCCATGATTTCTGGAACTAGGTCCACAATGTATGAATATCATAATATATGGCTGGAGTAAATTCAATTGAAATGCATCTCAAAATGATAAATATAATATTGTATAAAAAAACCACGTGAAAAATGAAATGATAAATTATCTCAAACCTAAATTTCACTTTTTTTTTTTCATCATTAATTAAATGGATGGCAATGGCTGTGTTTGAGTGAGTTAAGTAGTTTAAGCGAGTCAAACCAAAGCCAATTAATCAATTTTTTAATTAAATATCGTAATTGGGTGTAGTTATTTTTTAAAAAAATATATTAATTATTATAATTTTTTTATAATTACATGATAATTGATTTTTTTATTTTAAAAATATATAAAATCGTTTTTTTATTTGATGATAAAAATATTATTTGTTATGTTTTTTTAAACAAAATAAAAGATTTTTCTTTTAAATTGTCAAGGATATTATCACAAAAATACATAATTTAATAAACGTAAAATTTTTCTAACCAAGCACAAAAATTTGAAAAGAGAATGCCTTAAAAATTAAACTTTCCTCGAAATATCACACTTTTATCTGAAATTTAAAATTTTGTTTATTAGACACCTTTTAAAAAAAAGAGTTTGAGCCTCTTTGTCATTTGAATATTAATTAGTCATATGTCAAAGAACTTATGATTTGTGGATTTTACTTTTTTTTTTCTGCATGCATTTATAAGTTTGTTTAAGCCTTTTTTCATCCGTCGACTAATAATGGATAATGGATAGGACGTATGATATATTTAGTCTTCATTTTCAAGAAGAGTTACCTATAATCTATTTAGACAGATTGTATGATTAATTCTGATAATATTAAAAATAATAATTATAATGAAATTAATTATTATAGTAGTAAAATTGAGAATTTTAGTAATAAGATTAAAATTTACGGTAAAATATGCATAAAATTTAAATATACTTTAGTATAAACATACATGTAATATCAAAATTACAAAACAAAAAAATAAACAAAAAAAATCAAATCCAAACAAAAGATTTATTTGTTGCCAACAACATCATTGGCAAGCTACAATTTCAAACATGACTCTAGTTCATACTTCAAGTTATGGATATTGTCAAAAAAAAATCCAAAAACTCAATCTCTTCCGCTTGAATCTTATACACCAAGACTATTATTTCAAACCAAAGTCGTCTATGTGCCGCCTCTAAATATAATTCACACAGATATCAAATTGAAACCTTCAAAAGAACAAAGATTGTATTTGACTAAAACCTATGCTAGTATTTTAAGATTCAAAATTCTTCCTTTCTTATGACAATCTCAACTAGTTTAGCCAATTATAAGAACATTTAAAAACAAGAAAACTCTTTTCTTCTTCATGGGAACAAGTTGCAACAAGATTATAACACTAAGACCAAAGTCAGCAAAACCTTGTAAGAAGGGTGTTGTAATCGATGAAACCTTGTGTTCTCTTTGATTACTGAATTCTATTATCTCATATGTATACAAAAAGGCCACCAAACAATTATATTTTTACCTTTTCACTTAATTAAACATTTTAATTAAGTTTTATTTTATGAAATTCAAAATTTCATAACACTCAATCTCATGTTAATTCATTATGTCATCTCATTGTATGTGATACATTGGCTCCCAAAATGTTATCAATTAATATAAAATAATTCAACCATGAATTCTCTTTATATTATGATCATAAATGATATCTAACAATGCATCATGACCATCTAAATGTTAGAAAAGTCAAAATGATTTGACTAACATTTCAGTGTATAGTATGTTAGTGTAATTGGATATTTTCATCAAATATCCTAGAAAGATAGAAAGCATGGTGCAGTGTATACCTTTTAATCTTTCCATATTAGTCTTGCAACTTTTTATATTAACCTTTTAGCATAAGTACCTTAGCCATGGACTTTTCGATTAACATAATCATGAACAAATGAGATAAGTCCTTTCTATATCACTTAAGATGATGAATTCTCTCTAGATCTCTCACCCACCGTCACATATTTCATGCTATACCTAAAGGCATTGTTTTTAAGCATCAGATGTCTTGATTGATAAAGCTGAAACCAAAACATGATAATTCACATATAAGATGACCTGTTATCACAAGTCAAAGATTACTTACACTACTGACACATTAAGAGTATAGTCTTAGACACAAAAGTGAAATACCTCATAACAAGTCATTTTCAATGAATTTATTCTCTAATAAGCACACACATGCTATCCCCAAAATATCACATACTTAATTTATGCAATCGGTTGCTTACCTAATAAGTAAAGAGCCTTAATATGTACCAATCTTTTAAGATTATTGATGGTTTTAGTTTTAACAATACAATGATCAAGAATGTCTTTAATGAATAAGGATCTCATAATTATGACTTTTTATAATTCTTTTTGCAAAGTATATTTTGTTTCAAGGGTTTTATTTACATATATTATTAATAACACATTATTTAATAAAATTTATGAATAAAAAATATCTCATACATTAATAACCAATAATGTATTTTACATAAAAAATTATGATTAAATAATATTTTTACAACCAATCTCGATTAGTTTGTAAGGATTATACTAATGATGATATGTTTGGATACAAACATAACAATTGTAGTGGATGAAATATAGTAAAAAGAAAAAATTATCATTAAAGATATTTGATTAAAATTTTTATATGTAAAATTTATAATATATATTTAATAATTGTAAAACTAACAAATTATTAAAAATTATTTTGTTGTATCAAATAACTTTTATAAAAAAAAAATAATATTTTTGTAAATAAATAATCAAACTATAAATAAAACTAAAAAAAAAAGTCCAGTTGGCCATTACATAATTCTTCTCCTATTGGACAATAAAGGATTAAATAAAAAAATTAAATAAAAAATTTCAACATGATGCAAACACAATCTCCATTGTATATTTGTTCCCTTTTCAAAAAATTAAGATGATTGTTTGTTGATAAAAAAATATAAAAATATTTTTTAAAATTTAATTTTTACTAAATAAATGCAATCTTATTCTCACAAAAGTTCTAGCTTACCTGCCATCCTACGACTCCCCTTTTGTATCCTCTCCTCCCTTCTCTCTCTATATATCTCCATCCACATTTAGATACAGATTTGGAGACAAAGAGATAGGGGCTGTGAAATTTAGTTAAAAGTCTGTAAGGCAAAGTAGAAATGGTGCAAAAGATGGGCAAAAATAGTGATTTTAAAGGAAAGGAAGATATGGGTATTGTTGTAGTTCATAACCAATCAAGAAATATAAAGCAGGAATCGAAGCAAATCATTGATAATCACCTGGACTGCTTGACATAAGACTTGTTGATGGTGCTTTAGGAATGTTTTAGTTGGAAGAAGATGTTGGGAGGTTGAAGGTGGAATGGCCTGAACCTGCAGTCAGAAATACGGTTAAGGAGTTCCGAAATTGATTTTTCATGATGCATTCCAATGTTCAAGTTAGTGAGGTATTGGAAGTAACATGAGGAAGAAGGTGCGGTGTGTGTGGAAAATTATGATGGAAGAAAAATTGCTTAACTGTGAAGTATGGTCTTGTATCTTACTTTACGTACCCAGGTCTCTTTTTTATTTTATATATGAGATAAAGGATAATAATTTAATTGAGACAATTAAAAGTTTATAGGAAGCATACATGAAGCTTGAAAGAATCAATGTAGGTGGTTACAAATTATATTTAATGATCCCAGATAAATATGGGCTACATTTAATGGTCTTGAGTAAGTTGGTGGTTAGATATTCAGTTTTTAAGTAATGTATTGATAAGATATAAAAGGAATGTTGGGAAGCCTTTTCCTTGGTGAGGCTGAGCTAGTTCCTTGAGTAAAGATGATGTGACAATTATGTGTGCACTATCTAGTCATTCCAAGGAGTTGACCATGTTTACCAAGAGAAGATGATGCTAATTTGAGTAAATAGGTGTAACAAGACTTATTTTGAGAGAAACTTCTAGATAGCAGCTTTCTCGATTTTTTTTTGTGTTAACCAACAAACCAACTTTGTTAGTCACTAGTCTTGTACATCAATTTTATAAGAGTCTTTTCAAATATTCAAAGAATACAAAGAAAAAGTCTTTTGCTTTCACCTAGATTTTTATTTTTTACAGCTCTTTTCTTTCTCTTTCTCTCTCTCTCTTCCTATCTCTTTGAACATCTTTGTGTGTATGTATATATATATATTGATAATTCTATGAAATAGAGTTGTTTAAACTTATTTTCAAGACTTAAATGAGT